CTGGTCTAGTGGAAGGTGTCCCTGCTGATGGCAGGGGGGTTGGAACTAGATGATCTTTAAGGTCCCTTCCAACCCAAACCATTCTATGATTCTGGGATTCTGAAATCAGCTCTGCTTAACATTGTATTTGAAGCTGATAGAAAATTACTTCCCTCTAGGACCAAGCGTAGAGTCACAGTATTTTCTGTGTGACCTCACCAGGGCAGACACAGCTCTTAGAGAACTGGAAGTAGGGGCACAGATTTGCTGTCAGGCTGGGACTGCTGGAACTGGGTAGTGTGAACACAGAGAGCTGCTCCACTCCACTGGAAATGGACCTTTTCCTCCCAGCTGTAAAAACACGGTAGCTGCTCTCCTGCCACCAGGAATAAGTTCCCTTAAGTCTGAAGGTTGTGGCTGGTAGCAGTCAGCTCCTGCTCATAGATATCTGTCAGCTTATTTAAGGGATGCTTAGAACAGATGTTGAGTCACACAGAGTGACAGGTAGTAAATGAGAGCAGATATTAAAGTAATTTTAGGTCATTTTCTCCACGTCTGCCCAGTGGATTGTTAATGGAAATTAGAGGCTCCACAACAGCCACTATCAGTTAAACTGTCACTACTGGGACACGTTCTCTGTCAGCCTCACTAATTCTAACATGTTGTTATGACACAAGGGTAAGAAGGAAATAGAGTCAGTTATTCACAATGACCCATTTGACTTTCTTCTGGCAGCAACAAATGCTGAGACCAAGTAAAGTGACACTGCTGGTTTCTTTACTCATGATCTTCTAATTTCAGAATGAACATTTCCAGATGTTATTTCTGCTTATTTATAATTGCTTCTGTGTTGTGAAGTCAAACACTCACTTTGGGTTTGCAGGACAGGACTGAGAGCAATATCAAATTGCTGTATTTGAGGCAGCTGGCCTCACGAAAAGCCAAACCTTTGAGAAATCTTAGTAAACTTTTGTATCTGATTCCTCACAGTGTTCAGAGTTAGAAGCCAGCGCTGAAATGTGGTGGTTTCAGCAAGGTCTCTCTGTCTTGCCTGTGGCTTTGGTTGTTTGGTCAGCTGCATCTTTTGTGTTTTCATACATTACTGCAATCGTCCTGCACCACGTCGACCCTTTGGTGCCCTACATCAGGTCAGTACCTGGATCACAGCGTTGAATTGGCCTCTCAAGCCTGTGAATTCTTCCCCAACTCCAAACCTGAAACAGCATTTCTTACCTAACAGCTCCGGTTCTAAAGTCACTAACTGTTTATAGTTATTTCTCTGTAACTATTTAAAGCTGTCTGCTTTTGTGCAAAGGTCTAACCTTTAAGCTGTGGCTTTGTGAACGTATCATTAAAATGATGATGAACAAGAAAAACTGGAGGTGCATCTCCAACCCTCTGTTCAGAGTAAAGCGTTTTGGCTGTCACCACGTTTGATTGCACCAGTAAATCCATACTATAATCTATATTCCCAACTGCATTGCATCAAGGCTGTACATATGACCTTAGCTTTGGTCTTTCAGTTTTCCAAGTCTTCATTTTTTCCAGTTTTATTCACCTTTTATGGAACCAAGATCAATATCTTCATTTTTTCCAGTTTTAATTCTCTTTATTCACCTTTTATGGAACCAAGATCAATATAGAAGGAACAGTTATAGTATGTTCATTCCTTGTTCTAAGGATAGCATGTCTTTACCATGCTTATTTCTACAGCTCTAGAAACTAGCACAGTATAGTTTGAGTCATGAAAAATACAGTGAAAAATACCTGGGAGGGTTTCTTATGGTTCCTTTGTCAACTTGAAATAAGTAAAGTTGTGCTGCAAGTATTTTTAGTATAGATAGATACGTATCACTCCATTTATCTCTTCCAGTGATACAGGGACAATACCTCCTGAAAGATGCTTATTTGGGATCATGTTAAATATTTCTGCTTTCTTGGGTGAGTATAGAAAGCTGTCCTTGGCAAACTGCATGCAGTTCTGTAATGCACACAGCTTTAAACAATTTAATTTCCTTATTCAGATCATTAAACAGCCCATAATCCTCAGTCAAAAACTCAATTCTAAGCAATCAATCTTAATTCTCTTAAGCAATTCAGAGGAAAGTGTATGTCTGGGATGTCATTTGCAAAGCCACCCTGACAACTGCAGATTCCAGAAGGCTAAAAATGTGTTTTAAAAAAACCAACAGACTAGTAAAAGAAACAGAAATGCAAATTCAAGGCAGTCACCTTACTTGTGCTGTGATTATGGAGAGGGGGAAGAACAACCTAATGTCTTTCAAATGAAAGAGACCAGAAAAATCTAGTAAGTTGACTTGTTTACCGTTATATTATTTGTTTTCACTTCCAGATTCCCAGCTTTCCTATTTCAGTGTACTGCAAGACAGGTTTTGTATTTTAAAGACTTGCCTCTGTCACTCAGCATCTTCCCAGTGAAAAAAAGAACAGACTTACTCGTCAGCTGAAAACCTCACCGCGTTTGTGTTCTTCATTAACAGGGATGGCTACTGTGTACGTCCGTTATAAACAAGTTTATGCTTTGAACCCAGAAAAACCCAAGATCATCAAGCTTAACAAGATCGGCCTCACACTAGGACTGATGAGCTGTTTTGGACTTTGCATTATTGCAAATTTCCAGGTTTGTTCTTTGCTTGCAACGTTCCGAAGCTGTCCAGAGTTGTGTGTTTGTTTATTTACCGAGATATTGGATAAAATGGGGATTTTACTGAAAGCAAAACTTTTGGGGACAAACCTTTTAGGTCAAATTCCCTACAGAAAACTGAGAAAAACTTTAAGCTTTAGTTTGTAATTTTTTACTTATTTGCTTTATCCTCAGGGACTTGTGAGCAGCCACTCATCAAATTTCAAAACATTAAAAACCCCACAAGTTTTACAGAAAGCAAACTCATCTCAGATCTCCTTCTAGGAGATTTGAAAGCCCTGGCTCCAGATTGAAAGACCACAACTATATTGTATTTTGACTCAGGAGAATCAGGTATCAAATAGTAAAAAAATGTTTAGAACTAGAAGTAAAGCCAACAAAAACACCCAACCCCAAAATAAGTCCAGCTCTGAAAAATCTGCCCTTTTACGTATATTTTCCTTCAAACCTGCACAATTCTCAAAAATACTGCAATGTTAACCAGCTCTTGAATTTCTCCATCCCAGTGTCTCTACTTTCTTTTCCTCTCCATTACTTCCCTGCCCCCTCGCCCCAAAAAATCTATATTCACACATCTCATACCATCAGCAAAGCCACATTCTGCATCGTTGGCTGTTATATGCCAGACAGTTGTGCAATTGCCAGTCTCATCACATTAATTACCTGCTGGATTTTGGAGGGATCTGTAGTGGTGCCTTTAGCCACTGGAGGCTGCAGCATCACCTCTGTCTCCTGCTGGATTAGGGCCAGGGAAGAGCAAAGAGGAAAAGCTCCTGGAAAGCTCCACCTTTTTCCCTTCTCCTTTTCCCTTAGATCAGCTCTCCAAGTTCTTTCAGCAGCCCCTGTCTTAGAAACCTCAGCACACTAATTTGGAGTTTGTTTGGGTTTTTTTGTTTGTTTGGTTAGTTTTTTTGGAGGCCTCCATCTATTTACTTTTTTCTAGAGCCCTAGCTGTACTCAGAGGTCACAGCCTCCCCCACCACACCCACCAAGCAGAAGCCTGCAGGCTCTGTTCAACTCCACAATTTCCTTCCACCACTGCTCAGGAGAGGTTATGTCTACTTTCTGTAGATTTCAAGATAATCAAAATAGAGAAGGTGCGTGTTAATTTGTTAACTAGTTGGTGCAACAATTCATCTTGAGCAAGACAAAAATTGGAAGTGATGTATCACTGTATCCCAGTGACGCTGAGGACTGGTTGAGGGCCACCCCAGAGGCAAAAGGAGCTAAAGGCCCCTGGAATCCACCAGTTACTGAAGACAACTGAAGTGTGAAAATATAGGAAGGTGCACAAAGGGGATATGGGAACAGCTGTCATGCAAACAGCTCCAGACAGCTCTCACTGCTGGGAGTCAAAGCACAGGGTTCATCCTCATGGGAGATTTAATTCCTGCTCTTCAGCCAGTACTGCTGCTTTATTCTGGCAATGGCTATTGATTTCTTCTCATATAGGGCAAAGATTTCTCTCTGATGACAGCTCATCACTGAACAGCGCACAGTTCTGGAGCACAAGCCTTTGGAACTTGGTTATTTGTTATTTAAATATGAATTCTCACCTCTGAAGTGCTGCATCCACAGGATTGTGGATGCAGCACTTCAGATTCATTTGTACACATAAGGTGCACATGGAGATTGTGAGGAAAGGCTGACTCCAATTCCTGATCTTAATAGTTACTCAGTAAAATACACAGACAGTCTCATGCTTTAGGGCATAAAAGATCACCTGCACGATTGGAGCTGGCTCCATCCTCCTGACATGGGAGGCTGCCAGGCCGTGTGTTGCACAACTGTCAAGACAAGACTTTTTTGTTTCTGTCTTTGGGTACTGTGCTTAGCCAGGGATGAGAGGAAAGGACTGAACACAATGTGATTTTTCAGGGCATAACTGTTAAGTCAGGTTGTTTCTCTTGGAATAACTTCTAGTTTAAATGATTTTCACTATTTGCAGTTGATTCTCCTCCTTAGGGATTTTTAAGTTAAGGATTACTGCTTGATTCAACCTTGTTCCATCTGAGTATTCAAAGATACTAATTGACATACCAGGCTTATTCGAACTAGAGTAATTTGGAGAAGTGCTAAACCTTGTTATTTTTAATCCCATTCTGGGTACTAGAACTGTGTCCTGTTTATCCTGTATTGCATTATCTTTCACAGAGGTACAGATTCCTGGGATAGAAGTGCTCAGCAGGTAGCCTGTTGTCACTCTCATTACCTGCAGGGATTCCTTCATCTGGTTTCTGTATTCCTGTCCATCATGACTAACGAGAACAGCTTTTATAAATCCTTGCAGCTAAGCTATAGCTGTGACCCTAACTCAGCCACAAGAACTTCACACAAGTAGCAATGCAGAGGGCTGGCAGGTGCTGGCATCCAGCTCACTCCATATGGGGTTTCCAAGAAAAAAATCTCCTAAGTACTAGCACGTTCCAGAACTGCTTAGCTTGGGATGTGAGAAGGCAGTTGAGTGGGTGGAGTGCCAAAGGTTTACAGAAGAAAACTGTTTTGAGTTTAAAATTAAACCCGGTTCTGTACAAGCAGTACTTTCT